ATATATATATATAATTCATTTATATAGAGAGGAAAAAAGGTTTTACACTTTTGACTATGGTTGTTGGGCCCGATAGCCCGGGCTTATCTTAACTAGTATACATATAAAAAGGAGTCGATGGTTCTATGTTTGACACAAGCAGAAAGAGTAAAAAGACAATCATGTGGCCAGCAACAGCAGAAGAGTCTTCACAGCATTGCAGCACATCCAATAAGACCAATCTCCCGGCTTTTCAGGAAGAGAAAAAATCAGAAGCCAGCAACTTCACCTTTCAGTAAGCTTTCCTTCAGAGATAAGTGACCTTAGCCCCAAAGATTTTGGTTAAATAAATAAAGCTGAGGGGCTGCATGGGGAGGTAGAATCAAATTTGCCCAAGCCTGTATAATAACCATGATGAGGAACAACATTACATAAAAGGAGAAGAAAATACTTCTCCCCAGCAAAAGAAAATACACATCCAAACAAAATCAAAGCTGCAAGCTTAAAAGACACATTATAATTCTTTTCCCATACTGTTCTCTTTTATTGCTGTCTATTTCCTTCATGAGACGTCATTGCCATCAGCAACGGTAAAGACTAAACTCATTAATTAGCTCGAAGAAGCACAATACTGCCAACCCCTGGGCTTCACTCTCACTCCACCACAGAACAGTTAACTCTTTAACTTGGATTTCCAACTGGCATTGGCTGTCCACGCTGAGCACCAGTTTTTCCAGCCATCTCATTGCCAAACTGCTTAGATGGAGTACTTAATTCAGCAGATGACGGTCTACTAAGATATGCTTCGGCATTTCCATGTCTTATAGTCTCATCATCAAATGCAACACGTTGGAGATTTTCTGTAAGAAAATCAGGACTAGATTTTTGTGGAGATTGAGGACTTATGGTTGAATTCTGAACTGATGGCGGTATGATCCAATGATTCCAGTCATTTCTACGCCTTAACTTTTCGCCCTGCAACGCAAGGAAAAAAACTGTTAAAACCCGTAACAGTTAAGAGGCAAATACTACCAGAGTACTTTCTAATTTTAGCATAACCTCTATACTAATTACTAATATTCTTAAAAGCATTTTCCTAGGCCCAACCAAGAGTGTAGAAGCAAAAACGACCCAAGTATTTTCATGGAAAAAAAGGTTAACAAAAAATTGCTTAACCCCCTTTTTTTTGTTTTGTTGTGATAACCGAGAAATTCCCTGAGGGGGCACTGGACCACATGTTCAAAACTTGGTGGTTTAAGCAATTTCCGAAGTCTGAAGTACTAAACATCTCAATCGGCCTAGGGCATCAGCAAACAGACTCTTTATATAATTCAAACAGCAGCTACTGTGAATGAAGGACACATTAATAAGGATGAATTACAAACCATTATTTTGTTTCTAGAGAGACCTATTCCAAAGAATGCGGTGGATAATGTACAAGGCAATTGAATTCTTCAAAACCATTTTGCAAGGGTAACAGGCTTTAGTTCTACTTAAGATTTCATGCTCATATCTGTAAGGTCTTTAACAAGTGTTCATTGTTTAAAATTCCATGCTTTTACAACACAAGCACTTTGCCAAAAAGCGACTAATACATAATGAGCCATTTCTTTTGGCCAGTGGAAGTAGAAATTAAAAGTCTAAAAAGACCACAAACCATATATAGAATGAATACCTGCACTTCTACAACAGTAGAGGACCTCATAACATCCAGTATCAGTTGTATATTATCTGTCAGCGACATTACCTGCAAAAATGGCCGAAAATAAGCCAAGTTTTTTACAGTAAATGAAGTTACCACAAAGAGAGTGCTCAAGGCATGTATTTAAGTGAGGCTGTACTAAAATAAAATGAAGAACCATTAATCTGAAAGGATATCCAAAGACTTCTCCCTCGGCCTTCACCTCAACCCCCAAAGATTAATCACACCTTATGCTACTTCCATTGCAGCAGAAATGACATAGAGAACTATCACAAAAACATTACTATACAGACAAAACACCAGATTGAACTAAAATCATAGAGTCAAGTGCAAAACTCCCTGAATGCTAATACTTGCAAAAAATACCTGCATAAAGCCCCATGGGACATAAATTATACCATGGAATGATCAAACACATTCAATTGCTTACAACTACCTGATTGTATCATTGACCTGCCGAAAAGAGAGGACAAGATCATACAACTCTACAAGAGTTCCAACAGACTTGTTCGGATACTCCTTAAATTAAATTACTTTAAGTTGACAAACCTGACATATATCAGGAGCGCCACATATCTATGGTTCCGATGCACCGATATAAGAAATACTTAAATGACAAGCATTCGCATGACAACAATTCACTAAATCAAGCAATCAGCTTTTAGAATACATCACAAGAAAAAATTAAACCAGAGGCTTGCTCATATCGTGACTTTATTCTACAACAGCATATTGGAAGAATCAAACTAAACCAACAAATACATCAAGCCAACAGCAAACAGCACATCAGGTATTAGAAACAATTACATCTTCCAAAAAAATAATGGAAAACTAATAATCCAGAAACAATTAAGTTATGCTAATCTACTACTTGTTAGGTTGGTAAAAATAATGAAAAAAGTGAGACTCAAACAATAAGGGCTGTAACAACACCTTACTTTTCCTAAACATCTCCTTAGCTCCCATCATATTTTTGAATCCTAGTGCAATAGAGAAGAAAAGCAAATGCAATAGAATAGGAAATGGCAAGCAAACCAAGGATCTCAAAGCATCAAAAACTTTTAAAAATAAGTTTCAATGCATTATAACTTAAACTCGAAACTACTGTGAACAAATCATAAATCCAAAATTTCACCCACTTACTAGTTATCCTTCCAAGCAACTTTCTTATCTCCTCCTTCCACAAATGGTATAGGTAAAATTAGACTTCCAATTTGAATATGCATTCAATTAATTAACATATCCTCCAAAAAATCACAGCTCTCTTATCTTCTCCTACCAAACATGTTAAGGGAAAATTAGAGCTTTTGAAGAAGTAGATGACTCCTTTTAAAGCATTTATTTATTACTTCCTCTGTTTCAATTTATGTGAACCTATTTGACTGGGCACGGAGTTTAAGATAAAAGAGGACTTTTGAACTTGTGTAAAATAAGGTACATATATTTTGTGTGGTCATAAATCACTGTATAAAGGTAAATTGTTTACAAATATGGAAAGGGGTCATTCTTTTTGGCACGAAATAAAAAGGAAATAGGTTCATATAAATTAAAATTGGGGGAGTATATCTTCATTTCAATTGATGACTTGTATTCGGTAAGAATTATTTCAACTTATGACTTCGCCTGATCAAGTAGCAATTTCAAATCTAAGTCTTCTCAATTTTTCAGCATTAAATACTATGCTTTCAGAGTTTACAAACTCATTATCAGCACATTTGCCTCCATTTTCTCCCAGTGTTTTTAAAAGCACAAAAAGGCGAAAAAGCGACAAGGTGTATCTGTATGGGGTTGAAGCGAAAAGCGAGAAGAAAAGCGCACAGCTTTGATCCAAAGCTCACAATTTAAGGAAATTTTTAAAAAATATCAAACATATATGGAATTAGTACAATAAAAATTAAGTTCCAATAAAAAAATTACTTTCGACATCCACTAGTATACAATAATGCCGATATTAATCCAACTCCTCAAAGTTTAAATTAAAGAAAATGACAGATTCTCGTTGGAATCACTTTTTTCAACATTGTTTGAAGTGCGAACTTCTCTAAATCGCATGGCTTTACGTATGAAGCGTGAAGAATTGCTTCACTTGCTTCGTTGTTTCAAGTTCTTTTACAACAACGATTTCTCCTAATTGTTAGCCTTCAATATATTTAACTCATCTTCAACAAATACCTGCCTCTGCGTAGCCCAATTTGCCTAAGCTTTTCTTGCATTATCCAGGTTAAAAAATCTTATTTCTTCCATTTAAACCACAAAAGAACATTGAAACTGCTTTCTTGATGCCACTTACACCAATCACAGAAATCACCTCTCTTGTATCACTATAAGTACTCCTGCCTTCTTCACCCCTTTCTAAAAGCAATAAACTCTTGAATTAACCTAAAGAGCCACAGTTGAGAGATTCACCCACATAGCTATAACTTCCACACTCCAAAAAGCAAAAAGTGCTATGCTCGAGATAATTTTACTTTACCTTATACAGTTGATTGGTCTTGAGTTCTTAGGATCCCTTTTGCACTCAATACACATTCTCACTGCCTGCTACTCACCAGAACTACTTGTTTTAAGACCCATCCTAATTGCTACTATCTATCACAAGGATGTGAGAACTCCAGATAAAAACTATCCGTAAAGGGAACAGGAATTTCAAAATCAACCAACCATTAACCAACTATAGACTCCACGAACAACAGATTTCACCTGTAAAGCTAACTATTCAAATTTGTGCATGTGCGGAGTGCGTACATGCATAGTACCCCGAAGAACTATACTTATCATGACTGTGATCGAATGTTGAACCTAACCTAACTGGCTTCCCCTACAATCAATAAGAATAAATAAGGAGATGGGCATCTATCCCAATGGAAAAACAATTTAGTCCTGGAACAAATGACATTAAAACCAGAACCAACAGTCTAATGAAATTATTACATAATCATGCATTTACAAGACAAAGTATTAGCCAAGAGTGCACATCAGAACACAGTATGGTGGTCACTAACTCTTGCTAGAATTACTCAATTTCAACACAAAAATCTGTTTAAGCACTTTGCATGAGCTCAAGAGTTCATTATAAGAGGACACTACTGAATCTTGACACATTCGTCGCGACAATATATTAATAGCTATGGATGCAATCGATTGCAACGCCAGATAGATATGATGCAGTCCAACCACATATCAGCCAGTCTCCAAATGAACTACATTGGAACAGCTTTGTGTAAAAGATACAGCATTTATAATCATCAACCAACAACAGCATTATAGCACGCATATAAAACTTCATATACACTTAGATATGCTTGATACAAAAAGAAATCATAGTTGCAATCAGCAACCCTAGACATC